GTGTATCTAAACCGTCAGAAAATTGTTGATCTGAGAGCCCCTGAAAATGTACCCGACAAGTGGATTGAGTTTCTGCAGCACTAGAGGTTATCTGAGTAACGGAAGCATGTTGGGCAATACTCATGCCCACATACACATCCGTTGACCGCCGAGCTAGTCCCTTCGCAGTAGCAGCATTTGATGGTTCGATTAACCCAAGTCTCCCGTTTTTGTTTAAAATACGGCGCCATATAGAGCGCAGATTCTGTTTCTGTTTCTGGGTCCTCATCGATTTCGATAGCTTGGCTAAGATGGATCGCCGGGACTGCGCTTGTTTGGTTGAGGGTTGTCTGAGCATCATGATGCTTATTCGCTTGGTTCGGTTCGTGTGATTGGCCAACAGATCTTTTCTTACTCCTTTCGTGCAGGCACACCGGACACGATGTACATGCATGGCCACATACTTGACATTCCCTCCCGCCGCTAACATCCTCCTCACATCTGCAGCAGTAGAGTCTCAGACGTTGGCGAACTTTGTTTGGAACATATCCTTCTTTGGTTTGCCTTTTTCCCCGTATTTCGTTCAATAGAACATGGGCCGTGGTTTGGTTGTCATCTTGATCATGAAATCTGTTGGTTCTTTTGTTGGGTTCTGTATTTTCTCGCATCGCTTGAGTACTTGCTCTCTTCCGTAATTGCCGGTCTGATGTCAAATCTTTGTCCATCTCTGAAAAAGTGTTAGCTACACTATGAAAAGCACATTCTGAAAGATCATATACCTCTCAAAACCGGAATCACTTTGCTTGCTGCTGTACCTGAAGTAACTGTTTGTGTTCTCAACTTTATCTTCACCAGACCATGAAAGCAAAGAATATCATATTAGCTCTGGAGAAATTTGTGCTCGAGCCTTTCTTTAATATCCTTCATTCTAGAGTGGAGCCAATAAGCCCATCAAACAGGATACTTACGAGTTCGCCTAATTTGTGAAGTAGAAGCATCCAGCTGCATGACAAGCTTCGCAGTGCGCCTTGCCACAGCAAGGATAAAGAAAAGATGAGCAGAAATGAAACCCGGAAGTTAGATCAATTGATATTGTTATGGTATTAAATTTAGACGGAGCTAAAACTATTCAACCTTCAAGGCAGCCACATTCCAATGCAATCAGAAGCAGGAGAAATCGGATGTGTTGTCTGGGAAGCTCGGTAACGGCACAGTGTTCCCCGGTTCATCAGACCGAGCGGAAATATTTCGAGCCACATAGGCACCAATAGCGATAACCAACATCGCCTGGAGTCATATCAGCACACGTCGGAGAGAGAGCCGTGGGTTCACTGAACTTACTTCGATCCAGAGGGGCCAGTCATGGACAAGTCCACCTGCGGCAAACCCTGCCGTTACGATAACAAGAAGTGCATGGATTGTAACTTCACGGATTACAAGCCCCTGAGATGGTATACCGCGAATGCTGCGCCAAAAAAGCAGGCCGGCAATAGCGAGTACCGTGTAGTCGATAGACACGACCACAGCTGTACCTTTCACCAACGCCTCGTAGGCGACCGAGCTAACTCAATGAGCAAAAGGCCTATGAAGATTGGGGAGAAGAGCACACCATAAGATCAAACCGAGCTTTACCGCGGGTGACAGAAAACCATATCCTAGAAATAATCGATGCAGCAGGGCGTTCGTAAGAGGTCCAGCCTGGATTTTGCTTTGCCGAATCATCTAGACATCGCGGTTAACGAGGACGAAATTAAGGGACTGAGAATAACGTACCTCTAGGGCTAGCGGGAATGCTGTACATATTCCCAGGGGATAGTAAAATGCTGGCGTATCTGAAACAAGCATTTAGCATTTATCATCATCATCCCGGTAGAAGAGGCTGCTCACCCCCGCGCCTTAAGCCTGATAGATCAACGCCAATGACAACAACATTGACGCAGATAAAGAGAACGAAGATTGATATCTCAGGCAAATGGTGAGGCTGGGCGCGGTGAACAGTAAGCAAGATGAGATGCACTGCACTTAGCACGATGAGCGCCGCCGACAGAAGCGCATATGAGATGTTAGGATACATTTTGCAAAAAAAGGCAGCCAAGTTGGTCCATTTTGAAATGATCTGTCGCGGAGAGATGTGATGTGGTTTATAAACATCGGGCAGCCACTCTCATTACGCCGCGAATGGGGCTTCTTTGATGGTCGAGGGGGTTTGCAATCCTCAATTCAGCAAAAATGGAAACTTGTCCAGGGTTTGTACGAACATCATTGTTGTTAATCTCTTGCATTTCAAATAAGTAGAGTGTGGCACCCTTGGCTGCGCTTTACATACTCCTCAGCAACCATCTTTCCCAACGCAATCCCGCACGTACAGCAATAGCATAGATAACCCTGGGTCATGGTTGGAGGTCCAAAGGGCTAAATTTCGAGCTCAATATCGCCCTTTGTCAGGATTTTAGGCCATCACGGCGCAACTGGTCCTTTTGGGATTCGATATCACAATGCTGTATTTTATAAGGAGCATACAACTGCGAACTAAATTCCGAGTGCGATCCTGGCAGCAACTAATAGGAGCCAGGTTCGCATGGATCCATTTATCAAACCTAAAAAGGAAGCCAGTGAAAAGTTGTCCATGCCATCGTCATCTCGGCGAATGAAGCGGAAGAGCGAAGTGTTGGCAGTCAGCGCGCAGTACGAGCAAATCAGAAAACCCAACACCCACGTGATAATCGTGCGCATCGCTCACGATTATCACGTGAGTGTCGGTCACTGAATCCTTCAAAGGTGTACAGCAGTTTGTCCTCCAGGAAATCTCAAAACCAAAATTATGGAGATTCTTACTCTCTCCCAAGCGCTAGATAAGCTCTCTCCCTCTATAGTACTTGATTCAGAGGTAGTTTATTACCACGTCTTAGATTGGGCATCACTTTCTAACAGTGGCACTAGATTTTATTGCGTGACTTCCGTCAATTCTTGCTTATGGGCACTCCAGAGCAGTGTTTGGAACTCATCCCGGTGCAATACAGACCCTCGAATAATGCAAATATCTCTTACCCTCAATCATCAATCCATCCGTCACCCACCCCGTCTCCCCAGGGTCCATCACGGGAGCGACTCATTCCACAACTACCTCCCATTGTATCTGTCCAGCGCCCCAAAGAACCTCTGCCCTGCACTTTCAGTTCTTGCAACTCCTACAGCCTCCCACTGGGCACAGAGAAAACTTATGCTCCCAGCGCTTCAAACCTCGATTGTCGCTCAGTGGCTATAAAGAATGGACAATATGCTCTACAGAGTCGCGTATCCAAGAAGCGACAAAGTGCTGAGGCAAATATTGACAAGGGCCAGGGAAGGGAATTGGCTTCGGCGTGGACGGAAGAACAGTTTATCAAATTAAAAAAAAAAACTTCAACCATGGTTCTTTGTCGATAACCTCCTGTGAACAGATTTGGGGATCAACTGGCAGTCTCTTGGATATGTTCCCTTCCCAACACCAGGGCTCCGGTTGAATCAAGCTTTTGAGAGGATCAGAGCAAAGACCAGCCATTGCTATCTTTGCAAATCCGCCTTTCCTTTACTCCTTTATGACTCACGAGGTTGAA